TACTGGTTGAAAATGACGCAGCCCTGTGGTACAGGCTGCTGAATTATCTGAGAGAGCTCCCAAATTTCTTTTGTAATTTTTTCCACTTTATTAAGGCTGGACCAGTTCTGGGATGGCTCCTGGGCATCCCATGTATGCCCCGTGCAATCTGTGCCTTTATGTGTGCCCATGATTACTCCCATTATCTGTTTGCATATCCCATCAATGGGAAAAGGTTTAGATCTTTTGATCCTATTTTGAGGGATGACACAAATGGGGTAAACCAGCAGGAACTAGTACTAGCAAACAATTGTGAAGATATTTCCTATACCGTAGCTAGATATGACTCTGGCAGCTATGAAATGCTGATAAAAATGTTTCAAAGAGAATGTTGCTGACTGTATGGTGGACAATTGCCTTGTATGTTGTTTTAGCAGTTCCGTTTCCATCGGCATGGTTCCCTTTACTTGTGATTTTGTCCAGCCTGCAGCTAAATACACTCAACTAAATAAGAGATAGAGAGAAACGAACTCTTTGGGTTTGGAGTGTGCTGATTTTATATTATGACCCTACTATCAAAAATCCTTAATCTTGGATGACTTTGTTACGGCTGAAACAAACAAGTCTCCAGTGAATACAATAAAAACTATCCTTTAAGTGCCAGGCCTCTCCTTCAGCACCTGCCAGGGCACTGCTGGGCTGAACCAGCAATGTAATAGTGATGCTCCTTTCCCTCGCCCAAGGATCAGCAGAGTGGGTCCAGGTCTGTTGTGTTTTTACCATCTGGTGTCCCTGCCTGAGGACAGTTTGGTAGTTTGAAGAGCTAACAATCACTTTGAGCCACTATGGACAAACCCCTTCCCTACCCTGGAGCAGTTAAAGGCTAAGTAGCATCAGATGCTGTGAATCTGACGTAGCCAATAAACAAAGGCCAGCATTGACTTTTCACTGTTTTAATCCAGGCTGCCAGGCCAGGATTTACTGGTGGGGGTGAGTGCCAGAGGAACACGAGAACCATGATTTACCTCTAGATAAGAAGCGCTGTGTAGCCAGCAGTAGCTGTGGGGAGATTTTCACCTTGTACTCATTGTCAGACACTTTGAACAAGGAGAAATCTTCTTTCCTGCGGTCCACCAAGGTCCCAAGAGGGGGAGGCTTTTTCTTCATTTTGTTCTCCCCTGAGGAGGGGGATGGGAAAGAGAAACAAACAAACAAAAAAGGCTTGAAGAACTACAGACCAAGGTACTGCGTGCACAAGTCCCCTTCCCAAGGATGTTAGCTAGCATTTAGAAAAGCAGATTTCTAGACCTCAAGGTTATGAATCTGCCTGGAATTGCTTTATCAAGGATGGCAGGGAGCTAAAGAGCAAAACGTTAACCCTTTCCACCCCAAACCATTTTCTCACAGGGACAAGCAAGCTCCAGGATGCTTCCCCCCCCCCAAAAAAAATAAGTACCAGTAAGATTTCTCATGCAAAGAGAGAAGCAGGTGACATTTTCCACCAAAATACCCAGCATTAAGTGGAAATCATTACAGCTTCTCTCTTCTACTATTTCAGAATGTTCTTTAAACATGGAAGAAACTGAATAGCAGATAGATTAGTCCTGAGACACCAACTGAATAAAATTATAAAATCAGGGTGGGTCTTTAATGGCCCGCACAGATGTTCCTCCCCATTCCCTATGTTTACAAGACATTCTGGAAAGTAAGCAAACATGCACAAATTTGTTTGGATGTACACAAGCCTGGCGTGATCTGGTCCATGGGGTCGCGAAGAGTCGGACTCGACTGTGCGACTGAACAACAACAACAACACAAGGGACAGTATTTGGAATACCTTGATGGAAGATCCAATTTTTTCAATTTTCCCCACAGAGAACAGACAGCTTTAAGGCAAAAATGGAAAAGAATGTGCACCACATCTAATCTAAACACCATTGGAGGGGAGATGGGGAACTTTCCCATAGAAACATACCCTGCCCCACTGGTTTTAATAGCTGCTACTAAAATCGCTGTTCCACCTGCAAATATTAAAAAAAGATTTGCAATGGAGTCTGAAAGTGTTTAGATAAGTTTAAAGTATGCGACATTAAGTTGCAGAGTCTGGGATTTTTTTTTTGTCGGCTCCTCAATAGGGAATGCCCCTTTCTTCATGGCATTCCAATATACTCCATGCCTCTCTGGGGGGGGAACGGGCATTTAATATGGGAGTTGCTGTTCTGGCACAATGCTCCATTTAGGAGCAACACATTATCTCCAGGTATGGGCTCTGGATCTCAGACAGAAAGAGAAACTCCAGTTCTTCTTTCCCTTCTCTAAGAAGCAACGGTTCTGTCCTGTGCATATATACTCAGAAGCAGGGGTCATTTCGTAGAAAAAGAGGTGCAGGAGCTCATTAGCATAACTCATTAGCATAACTTATTTGCATATGCCACGCCCCCTGACATCACCAGAAGTGTGTCAGAAGGGGGAAGAGTTAACTTTTGAGAGACCTGAGCGTGTCTTTCTTGATCTTTCTTAGATGTTGTTCCAGAAAGTTTTAAGAGTTACTCCAGCCAACTCACTGATTCTATGCATGGTATGATTCTTGCTATAAACAACCAGATGGACTAATTTACTAAGGTGTGCTTACCTAAAGGCACAATTCCCTTTGCCAAAGAACATACATTGAAAAGAATTTAGCTTGTTCAGGACAGCAGGAGTTGGCATGGAAACACCAGAGAAAAACCTATGGTATCAAATTCTGCACTTTAGAGTTAAGTGAACATCCTCAAAATGCAGCGCAATGCATAGTTTTCCCATTAAATTAGCTGCAGGTGGAACAGCAAACTCTGGCGGGAAATTACAGTGTAATGGGGAGGTTGGTCAGGTGTCATGGTATTTTCCATGGTTAGCTTAGTGTTGATAAGAAGGTAACTCTACCAGCCTAGCCTGTTTCAGAGGAAGGAATCCTTTTGGGGGGGGGGGGGGGGGGGGGAGAAACCAAGCCAAACAGGCCATACCTGTCTGGAAACCACTTACTGTAGTCATCTGACTCATCCATGATCTCCGATTTTATGATCTCCTCAATGACATCTTCCAATGTCACCAAACCCATGACTTCATAGAAGGGGTCTCCTTCACCTTCATTGTTCACCTTTTGAACAATGGCCATGTGTGATTTACCTGGGAAAGAGAAGAAGGGAACACACAGGGCACGGTAAACTACAGTGCAGCCAGAGAACAGGCACTGATATCATCTGAGAGAGAAATAACAGCATGTTTATAGTCCTTTAGAGCACTTCAAATGCCACCACCTTTTTCTTGTAAAAATTACATCCTTGTAAGGTAGGACAGCATTATTAACCTCCACATGGCAGGGGGATTACTCAGTCTGAGAATATTAGTTGCTTGCCACCTGGTGACCTCCTGACAGAATTCAAACCAGGGACCTCACAATTCAAAGTTCAGTGCATAGCTCTTGCTTTGTTCAATACAGGCAGAAATGGAGGTGAAGCATCTTTGAACCAAGATGCTCTTGAATCTGGGTGAGATAGGCTGCCAGTGCATCTTCTGCACCGAACACATGAAGGGACAGAACAATGGGGACAGATCTTCCATTTCATTATTTTATTTACTTACTTTATATTCCTACTTTCCCCCCAAATGAGGACCCACAGCAGCTTATACCATTCTCCTCTCTTCTGTTTTATCCTTACAACAACCCTGTGAGGTAGGTTAGGTAGAGAGTCTGTCAGTGGCCCAAGGTCACTCAGTAAGCTTCCATAGCTGAGCAGGGCAGTCAAACCAGGGTTCTCCCAGATCCTAGTCTGACGCTTGAAACACTACACCACTATTTTCTCAACTGATGGTCAGGGAGTGTTGTCATTTATTCATTCAGGGATTTATTCCATGCAGCCAGAATGATTATTACAGAAAAATTATAAAAACTCATGAAAAAAAATGTTACTCTAGCTGGGTAATCACATTAATGAATAAGATCAGTTAAAAATGCATGGTAGAACAACTGAGGGAGGGGAAACCGTCTGACTCCATTCTGCTAGCCTTTGTTTCCCTTCATCTTGGTCAGGATCCTCTTTTCCTTCCTGCCTCCAACCTGCTTGCTGTTTTCGCCCCTCCCAACAAACCCTGTGCCCACCCACCTACTCTTCCTACTTGCCTGGTCTCCCCTCCCTCTGGCCATTCCCCCTCCCCTCTTCCATTCAAATCCAGGCCCACTTTTTCTTCCCTCTCATAGCCCCAGAGGTATCTTTTCCTCCCTCCCGGTTCTCCTTCCTGGTTGCAGCCCTTGCATTCTCTCTCCCCTAGCAGCCCCCTCCCCTCCCTCCTCCTTCCCTTCCCAATACAGCTCGCTTCACCTCCTGCTGGGGGGTAGAGGGTCATACAACACTGGACACATTTTTGGCTTTTTTTACCCTACCCTAGCCTTAGGTGGCCCCATTGTGCAGATTATTTTGTCTACATGGTAGGGCAACATATGGGAATTAGATGTATGATAGGATCAAGTAGGCAACGTTGCTGGTAGATAACGTCTTTATTACATTTTAATGCTGGACAAAACGAGGTCTTTATTCAGATGTCACACATAACCCCAGTTGCTAGGTTCACATGCACTCCTCCATCCCTTTCCCCTCCCTTCTTGTGCTGAGAATCTTAACTAAACAATTCTCCATGACACATGAATGCAGGCATGCAAGTTATCTGGGACTAGTTTTCTTCCAAAATGTGATATCTGAAGACAGCTCAGGAGACGCTGACAGTTGCTGCTATTCTTTCTCGATTGCATGGCTTATACGACATTCGGATGCCTGTGTGTTGCCTTTGTCTATCCGAGCATTTTTTTTTAATAAAGTGACAGCAACAACAACAAAATGCTTGAATTCTGAAGGTAGCCTGAATTACACTATCAAAAATGGAATTTGCCAGCCTGAATACATTGCAACATTATTTTAAAACAAGCTTTAATTTGCTTTTCTCACAAAAAACCCTTGCAGTGTTCTTCTGCCTCTTTTTAGCTAGAAGGTTGTCCATTTGCTTAACACAGCAAAAACATTAATAACAGTACAATAAATATAATTCAACCAAAATCTAAAATATCTGCAACGTAAGACAATCTGGCGCAAAAAGATTAAATTCCAGTCCCAAGTGCCCAACAAAATACAAAGTCTTCAACCACCTCCAAAAGGAAACATGGAACAGAATGAGCCTCAATGTTAGAAGCAGATTCTATACCACAGGGGCAGTGACTGAGAAGGCCTTGCTTCTGGTGGGCGTTAAGCTTGCAACCACTTGGAAAGTATTCTGAGCAGAGGTTCATGAGAAGTTCTTAAACAACAAGGGAGGGGGGGAGGGGGACACATAGGAACCGGTGCTCTAGAATTTGCACAATTTCACTTTTTTACACAATCTGTCTACCTTTTTAAAAAACAAACAAACAATTTTGTATAATATAGAATCCTTTTCCTAACTGAAACAAAATGCTAGACAGACAGCCTACGCCCTGCCACTGCAAATCTTATTTGGCAATTCTCTTAGCTATTGAGATCTCAGCAGCTCCTCTGCCCACACACCTTCAAACATACACCTTGACACTAAGCTTCTATTATATACAAAAAAACCCAAACCCAACCACACAGAGGTATTTTAGACCTCACTTGTCATCATTACTCAACAGCCTGATTAGCCCAGTTTGGCCCAAGCTTGTCAGGGCTTGGGAGACAAGCAGGATCAGCCCACAGTTAGTACTCGGATGGGAGACTGCCACGAAAGACTGGCAGTTCCACCACCTCTCTTGTGTGGAAAGCCCTGTGGAAGGGTTTGCCATGAATCAGCTGCAGCTTGATGGTACATTCTTCATCCTCCTCCATCCCCAGTTGTTTCCACACATATGTTGTGCTCCACCTTGTTTTCCTTACTGCGGTACTATTTTCACAAGCATCAACGTGATGGCAGCAGAATGAATAGCGGACAACTCCCCCTTTTGCTGTGGTCATGCATCTGGATGCCATGTGGACAGGAAGGTGCCCATTTCCCCTGGTCCTACTCATATCGGTGCCATTATCCTTACCTCGGTCCATTTAAGGTGAGCAGAGAATCTGTTTGGCCTCTTCTATGCTTAAGATGCCATTACCTGTCCTAAGTATTGAGACAGGCTGAACCACACATCCACATTAATATACCTTAAAGGGTCACAGGCCTCAAACTGGGGACATTGCAGGCGAGGAACAGATTCTCCACTCTTGAAGCTGGGAGGAGGAAACTGCAGGCATTTTGAACTAGGATTCAGACAAGGTGGGACCACCATCCTCCTATTCCGAGAGACCATCCAGTAGCACTGCCTATTTTATACCTGCAAAGGTGAGCAACAATTCAGACTGCTTCCCCATGCTTCATGCAGACACTGCTCTTTGTCGCCTCCTAGCTGGCCTCTTAGTATATATGCTGCCAGGTTTTATAACTGCACCCTTGGCTGCCTACAACCTCTACTTCTGCCCATATCCTCTGCCCACTCACAGCCTTGCCAGTTGCTAGGACCTGGCCATACCAAGGGTCCACATCTGACAATATATATACATGGAAAGAAGATCTGCTTATACAGTCTTGCAGTCAGCATCACAGTTCTGGCACAGACTTCTGGACCTGACTCTGCCCAGAAACATCCCCTAAATGGGCAACGTTGCCCTGGCGACATATGAATGGCACAGTCAGTCCACAAGCTGGTTTAGGTCATAGGCTGTGTTCTGTGCCTCCCCCACCCCGTTGGTTCATACGCAGATTAGGCTTTTGATGACAGTTTGATTTGGCTGAACAACACAAGCAAACAGAATGTTCTCGCCCTCCTCTTGGAGTCTCCTGCTGGGCCATTGATGTGAATGTTCTGAACAGCTCCTGAATTGCAGGTCTTCTTTCTAGCTTTCTCTCTCAAGGTATTTAGACCACACCTGGTTCCCTGGAGTTTGCCCCATGCTCCTGCACTGGCCATGTGCAGCTCTGCAGGACAACAGGCCTTTCCAATGCTAGCAGGAGGTCGATTTGTTCTTTTGAACAGTTTCAAGACTAAAATGACGAAAATGCAGAATTGTACCAGACGCCTTATTAAAGACAAACAGAGGGGGAGGGGGGGAGGCCACCAGCTTTCCCATCAAAGGTTCTTCGGGCTTGAATGGAAAGCACCCAGCAAGGAACAGCTGTTGTAGCAAAGGCTATCATTGGGTCAACTCAAGAGATCTTGATGCTACAAAAGGAAAATCCAAATGATCCTCCTCCTACAATCAAAACAAGGCAGAATCCCCTAGGAAATCATCCTTTGAAAGCCCCACTAAAACAAATAGGAACTCTTGCTGGTTTCAGTGCCACACACGCAGGAGAAATTCTGCATCTCAGACAGATGCCTATCTCTCCTACTCTCAGCACCCATAAGGGCATGTTAGTGCTATTAATCACAGAAAAAGCACAGAGTCTGGCTATGGAATTCAGCTCCCTGAGAATATCAGCTTTCATGAAGAAAGGGGCAGGAGGGCACATTTCTAGCACTTGAGGTTTGAAAGTGAAGGCAAAAATGTGTGGGCAATGCCTGATGGAATCTCAGGAGCCAGAAGATTCCTGCATTAGAGGCCAGAAGGCAGGACTTCTCTGGCCTGCCCCTTCCGTACGATTAGCAGAACCACCGATGCACTGGAAGGTGCCATTGTGTGCACTTACACAAATTGTGCTATTCTGCAATCTGCATTTTTCTGTGTGCATTCCCCTGCCATAGAACATTCACCATCATCGTTTTTAAAGAGAATATTTATTTTATTTGTATTCTTCTTCTCCTCCAAGAAGCTCAAGGCAGAGAATGCAGGGTCCCCAGCAATCTCCTTTCCATACCCACAGAGGCTCCGACCAGAAGTTCTATGATCCTTTTGACCAACATTTTGTTCCTCACTAGTATTTCCCTTTTAAGTTGTAGCAACTGCTTTCTGTTAAAAAGAATACACACTTAAACAGAACATGGAACCACAAAGAATGTGTAGCTCAGCACTGAGAAATGCTTAGCTTCATCAGGTTTAGACCATGTTCTGCGACTGCATGGTGCACACAGCTCTATGCCTCAATAACAGAATTGTAAGGACCAGTTTTCACATTCCCCATGCCCCAGGAGATCAGCATGCATACGCAAGGTT